TTATTGTTATTGTTATTGTTATTGTTATTGTTATTGTTATTGTTATTGTTATTGTTATTGTTATTGTTATTGTTATTGTTGTTATGATTATTATTATTATTTTAATTAATATTGTTATTGTCTTTGTTTTTGTTTTTGTTTTTGTTTTTGTTATTTTTGTTTTTGTTATCATTTTGTTATAGTTGTTGTTGTTAATGTTATTATTTGTATTATTACTATTATTATTATTATTGTTAGTATTATTATTATTATTAGGGTTCTCTATAGCTTTGATTGTTATAACTCTACCCTTCTCTCTGTGCCTCTGTATAAAGGTATTATTATTCACAAATTAAAGCTAAAGAAATTTTTGGAGGATTTTTTAAATTTCTAAAAAACATATTTTCAGGTGGTTCAAGAGTACGAAAGAGCAGTAATTTTCCGACTGGGTCGTCTTCGTCGTGGCGGGGCAGAGGTGGGTCGCTCTTTTGTATTTGTAGTCGCCCTGTTGTGTTAGTGGTAGACATTTTGAATTAGTGCTCCTCATTTTGTGTTAGTGGTCGCCATTTTAAAGTTGTGGTCGCCATTTTTTGTTGGATGTCACCATTTAAAGCTGTAGTCGCATATTTTAATAGTTGTCGCCATTTTGAATTAGTGGACGCCATTTTGTATTAGTGCTCCTCATTTTGTGTTAGTGGTAGCCATTTTAAAGTTGTGGTCGACATTTTAAAGTTGTGGTCGCCATTTTTTGTTAGATGTCACCATTTAAAGCTGTAGTCGCATAATTTAATAGTTGTCGCCATTTTGTATTAGTGGTGGCAATTTTATTAGTAGTCGATTAGCACTCGCTATTTTGCATTAGTTGTCACATTTGAAATAGTGGTAGCCATTTTATAAATAAGCATTCGTCAACTTTTAATTTTTAATTAGAGGTCGCCATTTTGTTATATTTAAAAAAAACATTTTTCGGAAATTGAAAGGCCATATTTTAATTTTTGACGACAATCCTAGTTTTTAATTTGCAGCAAAATACATTTGGTGTCACTGAGCAAAATTTAAACCTATTAAGATTCTTAAATAATAAAGTGTGTGAATAAATCTTTATATATATATATTTATAAGTTGTCGAAAAATAAAAATCTATTACTGGATGTATGTCATATATACAGTCTTTCTCTAGTTGAGGACTAATAGAGTCTAGAGACTGTTTGAATGCTTTAAACAATTCTATACTATTAAATAATGCTTAAAGAAATGTTGTAAGATTCAATAATGTAAATACTATATTTAATGCTTAAAGAAATTTTGTAAGATTCAATAATGTAAATACTATATTTAATGCCAAAAGAAATGTTGTAAGATTCTATAATGTAAATACTATATTTAATGCCAAAAGAAATGTTGTAAGATTCTATAATGTAAATACTATATTTAATGCTTAAAGAAATGTTGTAAGATTCAATAATGTAAATACTATATTTAATGCTGATATCTAAAGTAAAAAGGAAATAACTTATTTCCTAAATTTCCTTCTTTTTATTACCTCGGATACCATTGGGCAGTTTTAACGGAAGAAAAGGGACTATTCCCTAATATTAAAGGGAGTGTTCGCAAAAATGAAAGGGACAGTATAAGCGCAATTTTAAATGAACTTAACTATGCATAGATGGCAATGCCCGATTTACAACGGTACCCTTGAAACCTGTATCCGATTAAAAATGGGAAAGATGAAGTTAGTTTTCTGCACTGAGCGTGTTTAATTCTGTTATATTATCTCAATTATTTCTCTTTTTGCAGAGAACCCACAAATAAAAATAAACAGTTTAAGTGAAGAAAATCACGGATATCTTATCTAGCTATACAAAGCTTTCAAGGAAACCGTTGTAATTCGGATCGTTGCCATCTTTGCATGGAGGGTCACATGAAATTAAACCAACCATCCTTTTCAGATGGATTCGTGATTATTTAATAACCAGAAAACTTTTTCTTCTATTTTTCTTTGAATTTTAAAAAACAAACAAAAAACAAAATAGAAAATATAATCTCTCTTCGTATTCCAAAGACGACGGATTACATTTCTAGTTTGTGGGCATCCTTGCGCTAAAAGAGGATGTACAGGGTGTCCCAAAAAACATGGGAATTCAGTGTCGAATTGGTAATCGTCTTTGTTATGAATTAGCAATGTAATACCTAATTTCAACAGCCATAATATTATTATGTCTGCTAGAGTTTATTTTATGACAAGGGTAAAAGACTGTAAAGATGTGTTTATAATGTCTCCGCAAGATGAACAGTGAAGAAGGACAAGTTTACTCTCTGTTTGTATACTGCAATTTTCTTGTTTTACTAAGTACAACCGTATGCAGTCAAGACATAAACAAACAAAATGTGAACATAGCAGACGAAACTCTTACAGATTACAGCTTTCTCAGTAGGTATCACTATACTAAATCAAAGAATTATTTAAAAAGACGATATCGAATTCGTCACTGAAATCCCATGTTTATTGGGACACCCTGTATTACATAATTTCAATAGACCCTCATTGACATAGCTACATTCCAGAATCACAGCGCACGGTAACTTTTAAGATACCATCTTTTACTTTCTTAAGAAGAGATGATTTCTCTTATTTTTCTCGGCTTGTCTTGGCTGCAAAAATCTGCGATAAATTCCCTGAATTTTAAATGATCAAACTTCGAAGAGAAAAACAAGAATATCTTATAAATTTGGAGGTTACATGAAACTACTGCGACGGTTCCTTTAAAATTACCGAAGTTGTTAATTTTTTATGTTTTTTTATTATCATTATTTTTCAGGGACCTGGACTGTTCTTCATAGTCCCGTGTATAGACCACTATAAAAGTGTGGACCTAAGAACAGTCTCATTCGACGTTCCACCGCAAGAGGTAAAGATAAAACAGTTTTCGGAACAGGAACCGAAACCAAAAGTTATTAACCAAAAACTGTAATTTTCTCACCACTCTATCTTTGCCACCTGATGGATGAACCTTTGATATCTCAAACTTAATCTTTTTATCTAAAGTATCTAAGTTGCAAAGATATAGAAAATCAGAGTTTGAGGCAAAGACTCAATCTTTTATCACGATTTTGTCAGTCTTATGTAATTAATTTAACTTTTTTTGGTCTTATAACTTTCTAATCTTAAAGGCCTTAACCATGTTCGCTCTAATGTACTCTTTTATTTGTCATACACTGTTAGAAGAAACCTTAAAATGTTTGGTACTTTTCCAAGGGTATTCTTCCCAAGTGGCAACTTCCCAAATCTGCAATTTGCTCATGTTGCTATTTTCCCAGTCTAGTCTGGCCGCAGCGCTCGGCCCCTAGCACATCCTAGCCGCAACACTCGGCCCTCTTTGCAGCTTGGGAAAAATATACATTCGGGAACATTTTGGAAGTGGTCGCTTGGGATATTGAACGTTTGGGAAGTTTCCATTTGGGAGATTGTCACAATTGGGAATTCGCATATATAATTCTTTGCTCATATATATATATATATATTTGTAAATAAATATATTTATATATGTTGGCTATAGTTGGCCAAACGGCTGGACCAAATGGGCTGACTTTTTTTGAGGAAAGTCCACGGGTAACGCCGGGCACTCCAGCTACTTACTAGTATTATTAGATTATTATTATTAGATTTTAACACGAGATTGTGTGACAATATCAGTAGATGCCGTGATATACTGGAGAACATCCAGCTCAGAGAAGGTCGTCTGTGTTGTCGAGAATACAAAGTTAGTTCTCAATATTAACACTAGATGGCAATTATCACAGGATTGGAACTTTTGAGTGGTTTTAACCGTAATTTCAATTTTTAAATAACCCTCCATGCAAAGATAGCAATGCCCTTGAAACCTTTATCTGATCAAAAACGTGGAAGACTACGTCGTTTTTCTTCTTCTTTTCTGCGAATTTCTCCATTGTTCTTTTAAGCAAAAAATGCGAAAGCCACTTTTGCAAAATGTTCCAAATGTAAATTAACAGTTTAAGTAAACAAAAAAATGAATATCTGATTCATGCTTGATCAGACAAAGCTGCATGGAGGGTTACAGAAAATTACGCTTGTAGTCTTTTTAAATACCACAAGTTAATTTGAGTTTCTATCCAAATACATATCTATAGCCGTCTGTGTGTGTTGGGTTAATGCAAAGTTAGTTCTAAATGAATGGCAGGATTGAAACCCTTTAAATGCCCAATTTACAACGGTAGCCTTGAAACCTAAATCTAACCCGTCAGGACAAATGGAGGAAAATGTACGCTAGATTGTGACGTATGTATTTTGCTTAATCAACTACAGTTTTATAGTCTCTAACATATCCCTTTTCCACGTACTGCACCTAATAATAACAATGATCAGTGCAGTTGATTAAGCTAAATACACACGTCACGTGATAGCGTACATTTTCCTCCATTTGTCCTGACGGTAATCAAAAATGTGGAAGATAACGTCGTTTTCTGTGAATTTCTCCATGGTTTCTTACAAGCAAGAGAAACATTTACAGTTTAAATAAACATAACAAAGTTTTTTGCAAATCTTGCATTGCCATGTCTCTGCTTGGAGGGTCACTTGCAATTACGCTTACAGTCCCTTTAAATACCACAAATTAATTTGGGTTTCTATCGAAATTTTATAAGGTCGTCTGTGTTTTTTGATATGCAGGGTTAGTTCTAAATATTAACACTAGATGGCAACTTTTTCGGGATTGTAAAAATCCTGTTATAAATTACCAAAGGGGTGAAATGAAGGTTGAAAAGGGGCGTTTTTGAGAAAAATCGACGCGAGTAATCTTAGCAAAAAATTACCCGCACATGTATCCAGATGAAGATTTAGTACTGTTGTGAATCGAACACGCCTCTCCGTAAATGTAAAATCACTGAAAATTACGTGTACAGTCCCTTTAATACTGACTTTTTCAGTCACTCAACGAAACTTCTGGCGGCCACCACACTCAGAAATGTTCTAGGAAAAGATGGCAGCAAAATATTTATTTTTAATTTCTTTTTTAAAAAGCTGTTTTTTGGTATGCAACAATTTTTATTGAATCCTGCTAATCTCAAAACTTATTTATGTAGGCCCAATTACAAACATTTTTAAAAACGTTTAAGATCCGATGGAAAGTACATAACTTTATGAAAAAAAACTTATTTTGCATTTATTTGCAATTTTATTTCTTCTGACTATTAGGCACGAAGAACCTTTCAGAAATACTCTCCGAGAGGGAAACCATTGCGCAGATTATGCAGGTAAAATATTGGCACTAAACAGGGACCATGGTGGTTGGGAAGGGGATCAACTCACGTTAACGTTTTGGGTGGGGAGGGATGGAGGGGGGGGGATGCAAATGAGGTGTAGCTATTTAGTGTTGGTTACAAATTCGCAACCGAAGTTTTAGACTATGTGTATTATCATAGACTGCACTGGACTGCACTCTACTGTACTTTTCTGTACTGTACTGTACTCTAATCTACTCTACTGCATACTGTATTTAGTATTTACTGTACAGTACTGTACTGTGCTGTGCTGTGCTGTGCTGTGCTGTACTGTACTGTTTTGTACTGTACTGTACTGTACTGTACTGTACTGTACTGTTTTGTACAATGTACTGTACTGTGCTGTGCTGAACTGTACTATGGTGTAATGTATGGTGCTGTACAGTACTGTACTGTGCTGTGCTGTACAGTATTTTACTGTGCTGTACATTACTGTACTTTACTGTACTGTCCTTTACTGTACTGTTTACTTTACTGTACTGTACTTTACTGTACTGTACTTTACTGTACTGTACTACACTATACTGTACTTTATTGCAATTCATTGTACTGCACTGTACACTGTACATTCCAGTTCATTTCATGTAATGGGCCAAATTTCAACTCACCAGAGCAAGCTGTTCAAATACAGACTATATAAGGCGGACAGTACGCCAAATGAAGGATCCCCTTCAAGTGAAATTTATGCGTGAACTGTACTGTACTGTACTTCAAAATGTTCTGCAAACTGTACTCACTGTACTGTATGTTTAGACGGGTCTAGACGAGGCAACGGATCCTTGGGGTGTAAAAGTGGAAAGAGTGGAAATGTATGTATTTATAAACAATGTTAATTTATAAAAATAAAACATATTTTTTTTCAATGTCAATCCAAACTGAAAATGCTCCAGAACTCCAGAGATTAAAACTTTGTTTTTGGAACTAAAAAAATCTGCCTGTTTAGAAAAGATATACTGCTTCTACTGTACTGTCTGTTTAGAAAAGATATACTGCTTCTACTGTACTGCTTATTTAGAAAAGATATACTGCTTCTACTGTACTGCTTATTTAGAAAAGATATACTGCTTCTAATGTACTGCTTATTTAGAAAAGATATACTGCTTCTACTGTACTGTCTGTTTAGAAAAGATATACTGCTTCTTCTGTACTGCCTGTTTAGAAAAGATATACTGCTTCTACTGTACTGCCTGTTTAGAAAAGATATACTGCTTCTACTGTACTGCTTATTTAGAAAAGATGTGAGGTTGCCTGTACAATTACAAAGAGCTATGGCAGCAGAAGCAGAAGCAGCTAGAGAAGCTAGAGCTAAGGTACAGGGTGTCCCAATAAAAATGACTAGTTTAAAATCGTCGTATTTATCAACAAAGGATGGTGACGTATGGGCTTTTAAAAATGTAGTCTGCCAGATATCAAACTTTCGTCAATAAATGTTAATTTCCATGTTTTTTTGGGGGCTGTATGAGAACTAAGAATATGGTTTCTGTAGTATTTACGGCCACGGGTAATAATCGTTTCGGTTGTATTCTTAAAAACCATTTAATAAAACATTTCCGAACTTATTCATGTTATTCATGTTATACTTGGTTTTTTCAAACTTTACAATATTTTTATCCCAAAACAAAAAAGGAATATAACGAACCAAAAAACGATATTTTCAGCACGTTCGTATTTTTTTGTATATATAGGGTGTCCCAGAAAAAACTGTGCCGTAGGGGTATTAGTAACTGAGGAAACAATTTTCGTTCAATTTTTACGATCAAGGTGTATTAGGTATTTCTGATCAGCGATCATTACTTTTTGAGCTTTATGCATTAAAAAAAAACGAAAAGAGAGCTACGGGTACCTCCGTACGAACCTTGCGTAGACCACACAATTTTGGAAACATTTGCTTTTCTCACAGAATGGAAAATTTTGACCATGAGAGAATATATAAGAAAACGATTAACGAGACTAATTCACAGGCAGACGAAGTACATTTGAATTTCCGAGCCAGGTCAACCTTTCCGGTCCCAGTTTGTACTGTATCACCCAGACATTGGGTTAATAAAGCATTCACTCAATAGGACTAGCCGGTGCAACAAGGTTGACGCGGTCAGACTTGAATTTAAGGCAGCTGTTTACAGCAAAAGCTTCAATTATTTCTTCAGGTAATAGCAGCTGAGGGAGAACAGAAAGCTTCACGTGCTCTGAAGGAAGCAGCTGATGTTATTCAAGAGAGCCCATCTGCTTTACAGGTTACTTAATACAGGGTGTCCCCACTAGGGCTCGGCACATTGAGACTTTTTAAATATAACAATTATCTACAAGGTAAAAGTAAGTCTTCTGTCATGAATTTAGTCTGTTCAATGATTGTGCCCAAAAAGAAACAAGTTTACAGTTGCTAAGAATCGTGAATATGCGGAAACAAACCGTGTATATTCCTTACAGACGTCTCTGAATTTTCATCCTGTGTTGAAATCTCTATATACAGAGTTACCCACCAAGGATGAGACTTCAGAGGCGAGTGACGACTGGACGAAATCATATAATCTTTTTGTTTGCATAAATGATTACATGCATTTGTAATTTTTTTTCTTTTTTTGTTAAATCAGTAAAAAAACAACATTGATTAATTAAACTCAACCTTTTGAGAGTTTCAAGTCGTCTTTAAAGGCTCCTACTTTGTGGGTCACCCTGTGTATAATAAATATTGCTTTTTATGGTTTGTTTGAATCTAAAATACGCCAAAAAATGAACGAATAATTCATAATAATGCCCCAGTCAGGAATTAAAAGGATATTAATAAAAAAAGATTTTTGAAATCTTTAAAAATTCAAAATAAGGCAACATCTTTTTCCAAGGTCCCATTTTTCACAGTATTTACAAAATGACAATAAAAATATATAAAAAATACTGGACCTCTCTTTTAATTTCAAATTTCAGAAATCTTAAAAATACAAATGGCCATTAAATAGTAATTAATTTATGTTTCAAAAATGTATATTTTAGCTGCGTTACTTACAAACCTTAAACAGGTATTTTTTATTATTCTTATTATTACTATTATTTTTATTGATTATTATTATTCATATTAAATATTATTCTAGGAGTGCCCTGTAGTCATGTCTCTTGCCCAGAAAGTAGAGAAGAGAAAAAGTGAACACGCGATAGGATTCAGGATATACAAGGTTGGCTCTAGGTGTAGAGTTAAGTAGGAAAGGGTTTAGGATATACAAGGTTAGCTCCAGGTGTATGGTAGAGTAGAATAGGGTTTAGGATGTACGTAAGGTTAGCTCTAGGTGTAGAATAGAGTAGGATAGGGTTTGTGTGAACAGATAGTGTGTGTGTTTTTGAGAAGGGGTGTGTGTGATAGATTGGATTAAACTAATCCTTGCCTTTGATGGATGGAGAAGAGGTGTAGAATACTAGAGGACAAATACAAAGGGGTCCCATTAAACATGGAAACTAAGGAACAATTTTTAAGTTGTTTTTTGTAAAATATATACTACTAGGAGAGCTGTAATATTGTCTTGGAGTTGTAATTAATTTAATTACATTAAACATTTTTGCTTCTCATTTAATTCAATAATCATTTTACCAATTTCATATTTTAGTCGGATAAAAAGTCAAAGGGACAATTTTGCAAAGCTCCGAAGTCGTTCACAATCTATTTTCATTTACGTTTTCATTCCTATTCAAAAATACCATGTTTATTGGAAAATCCTGTTAAAACTTCAGCTGCAAAGAAAATTATTGTTATTTTTGGAACATTNATACAAACACAAAAAACGGAAAAAATACAAACATAAAAACGGAAAAATACAAACACAAAAAAACGGAAAAAATACAAACACAAAAACGGAAAAATACAAACACAAAAACGGAAAAAATACTAAAACGAAAAAAAAGGAAAAAAACTCAAAAACGGAAAAAATACAAACACAAAAAACGGAAATATTATAATTGAGAAAACTAGAAAGACAACATACAATCATAGAAGAGAAAAAAAGAAACTTATTATTTACAAATGTAAATACGGAGAGATCAACAGAATTTTAAAAATGATTTCAAATGTTGTTATAAGCTGAGTCCTGGAATGGAGAAGGCAGATGCACGTTTCCTAACCTATAACAGAGTAAGCATATTTCCTTTACATTTGCATAAATTTAAATATATTTTTTTTGAGTGAATTTCATTCTTGACTTCTAGCATTAGCTCTAACCCTTAACCCTATCCCGATGGTGGGGGGGGGGGGTTTTTCCCCCCCCCTCCTTTGGTTTCTTCTGAATAACTTAAAAATGGATTTCTTTAGAACGCTTAAACTTCTTCACTTTTCAACATCATAGTTGTGAACAAATTTTGCTAAACAAAATGCTTTTTTGATGCATAGGATAGGATTGAGAATGGCCAAACGGCGGGTCAGTGTTTAAAAAAAATCAGAAATGGTTAATGACTTTTTTATTAGTTAAGCTACAGGGCTGAGACTTATATATTTGAAAAGGCCTTGAAAAATGGATGTTATAACATATGTCATAAGTTAATATTTGTCAAAAGTAAAAATAACCATTTTTGGAAATTTTTTTGACATACTTTTTGAACTTTTAAAAAATCCTCCCTTACACTTTTTTAATGAACAGGCCTTGAAAAATTGGACTAGGGACATCTTTTACACTCCCTTATCTCAACTCTAATGGCAAAATAATAAGGGGGGGGGTGGAAAACACCACCCCCCCCAATCTATATTTGAGAAAAATAGGGTTAAGGTTAAACTAAAATATTTTTTTTTTGGAATGAGGGAAAAAATGGGTTATTTACTTGGCAAAGTTTTATCTTTTTAAAAAAAAAATCATTAAGTCACAAAAAATTTCCATAATTTGGGGGGGGTGGGCTGGGGGGAGACTCTACAGAGGTGGAGATGTTTTAAGGAATATACATTTCTGTTTCAATGTAAGGCCGAGATGTAAAATAGTTCCTTTGAACATGGAAAGTCTTTGATCAAACAAATTTGAAATGTTTCACAAATGAACATTGAACATTCTAATAATATAAATACAGCCAAGTTATCCAGAAATTCTAGTGTACGGGTCCGACAAAAAATTCTTAAAAATTTCAATTTTTATAGCAAAAATGTTGTGTTTTAAATTTAAACTTCATATTTTTAGACTTGAATCAGATGATCTATGTTAATAAGTTTTTAATAAAAAAAAAACCTTTCATAAGCATCGCGGATATATGTAAATTTCAATAAAGGGAATAGTTTGAATTCACCAAAAAAAAAATAGTTTTTTTTTGTTCTTTTTAGCCTTAAATCAAAGGTAAAGATTTAAAATTATGTGTTATTTTCAAAAATGAAATATGATATCTCGAAGTCTAAAAATGAACAAAAAAACTGTGCCCATGGTCATAACTAAGACCAATATTCTGACTAAATTTTCCTTGTGTGAAGCAAGTTAAAAAAAAACACTGGGATGCTTTTTTTATTTTATTTTTTAATTGCACTGTAATAAATTCAATGAATAAAGATTTGTTTGCCATCAAAAATTGCCATGATCTTTTTGAAAATCTGTTTGAGATTCTTTTGAATGATAACGGCAACGCATGAATTTTTATGTGTTTTTTTTATCTTTTTATTTTATTTTATTTTATTTTATTTCCCAATTTAAAGATATTTTGTTTATTCAGCGAAAATATTATCTGCATAAAATCAATGAATATTTTCAATTTCATTCTGAGATATTTAAATATTTATAAAAACATTTAAGTTGAGAGAGATGAAAACTATCAAAAACATTGAAACCCGGTTTTAAAATTTATATAAATACCATCACTTCATTTATTTTGAAGGAACTGCTGAGAAAACCCTTTATCTGAGTGACAAAAAAAGAAGATTTGTTGTTAGGTACTTTCCCAAAGGCATTTTTCCAAGAGCGACTTCTGAAGGGAGAATTTTCCAAGTGGCAACTTACCAAATGTGCATCTTCCTGAAGGTTAGGTTAGGCCTTTTGAGACGCCGCAGGCAACGAGGACTGAGCGCTTCGGCTATCAACGGCTATTAACGGCAAGGGGGCCGAGCGCTGCAGGTAAAACAGGATTGGGGGCAGAGCGTTGCGGCTAGGACAGATTTAAAAAGTTACCGCTTGGGAAATAGCACATTTGGGAAGTTGCCACTTGGGAATATAGCATTGGGAAATTGGGAAGTTACCATTTGGAGAAAATCCTTTGGGAAAGTACCTAACATTGAAGATAATTTCATTTTTTTAGTGTTTTATTTTGAAATTTTACTTTCTTGTCTCTGCTTATTTTTAAAATAGAGGATCACTCAATCAAGCCTGAACTACCTGAAGTGTTTTATACAACATTGATTCGGAAACTTTGGTTTAGTATTAAATAGCAAAAATTAAATACATCGATACATTTTCTCTCCAATATTTATAATTTATATGTTCCCGCAGATTTTTTAGTTTTGTTTTTAGTTTTTAGTTTTTAGTTTTTAGTTTAGAGTTTAGTTTTTGCTTTTAGCTTATAGTATATCTTGTTGAATTTAAGATTTTCCAGATTTTTTTGTGCTTCTGACGCTCAATATTTTCTAAATTTTCCACTTAATAAAAAAATAAATGTATTTCAGCATATTGCCAAGTCTGAGCAGTTTATAAACCTGCGTGAGATCAGCCTCAGGGTGAACCTGCCCGAGGGGGAGTACGTGGTCATCCCCAGCACCTTCAACAGGGGGGAGGAGGGGGAGTTCCTCCTCAGGTAATGTTTATACCTGGAGATCATTTTTAAATCATTAAAATCCAGGTTTTGAAAGGTGGTACTTTCTAATATCGTCCGCCTTATAGCAGTCTTAAATCAAAGTCTGACCTGCGTTAAACTATAGGTTTCAGACGATCTGACAGGTTTATTACGACAGATACATTTTGGTTGCTTTGGAAGATATTTTAAAGTTCTTACCTTTTTAAGACAAACTCCCCAGTCAAATTTCTGATTTTTCTTATTTGAGACATACAAGCTAGGCAAGGCAACCAGTTACCACCGGGCCTAAGACATTTAACTGTAACAAGATATAATTAATGAACAGCCAGTAGGGCGGCTAGTTGAACTACTTCTTCCATCATGCGCTGGTTCAAGTTAATCTCTGCAGAAATAGTGTTGCTTGAACTAGACAGAACTAGTTCAACTCCTTCATTAACTCCCATCTTTGTTCAGATTGTACTTTGACAAGAAATGGGGTGCAAAGAGTACATCTGGTGTGCAGAGTTCTGTACCAGACCGGCCAGCACCTCGTGTACCTGGTGTACCAGCAGGTACGCCGCGCAGGGAAGAAGGAGGGTATGGAGGAGGGGGAGGAGGAGCTGGATATTCTCCGTTTGTGTAAAAAAACTTTGATATTTTAAACTTTTTTTGCGAGTGTTCCGGTCCTTTGTTGAAAATTCGTTTTTTTACGAACACTTCCTTTAAATATTATATACTTTAGACCTGAGAAGACAGGGTTACGGAAACAACTGATGAACACAGCTTTAGATCAGCTCATGAAGAGTCAAACATTTAGAAGTTTAAAAGAGAAACTAGAGGTAGTAGCATAACATTTATATTAAATGAATTATGGTCCTGGACTAAGTTTTTTTTTTGGGGGGGGGGAGAATATCCATCGTTGACCATAAAAGATGAGTACATTGAGAAAATTGTACAGAAATGATTTGGTCTGTTTTCTTACATTCATTTCTTCCCATACTTTCTTTTCACAATTAAAGAGTTAATGCTAAACGTCTTATCCTTGTTGTGATTAAATCTCTATTAAAAAATGACATTGTAATATTTTTCTTTATCCTGAAGAAGTCCTGTTACAGATGCTTAAAAAAGGTTATGGACCAGTGGGGAGGGGGGGTAGATGCCTATTATTGGATAAAGAATAGTTTGATAGATTATTGTATATATTCATCCTTTATATTTGTCTAAAGCAAAATTACATTAAACAATATAAAAGTTTACAAACTAATACTCTTTTCTCTGGATATCGCATTTTATAATTGACAGGGTTTGCCAAAAAAACAGGTGCAATACAAGACTTTTGGCATGAGTATAGTTTTGTTATTCAGAGGTGGTTTTCAGAAATGGGGTTTCTTGGTCCCAGTCTAGTGTTTTTCATTTTCTAAAAATGTGGTATGATGACAGCACTGCAAGGCTTGTTAAATTTTCGCACATTGCTCTGAAATTAACACTGGGTTTGCAGAACTTATGTAGTTTCTTTAGATTTGCTTTATTTGATGGTAAGATATATCCTCTTGAGCCGATTTCAAAAGGGTGAACAGACACATCCCTAGTTGTTATATCTGTGATAAAATGTTTGATAGATTATTGTAATGATATGTATATACTGTAAAGTTATCTAATCTTTATTATTTTTAAGTTTCTCTACAAGTGGAAAAAAGACCCAGAATCTGAAGTGTCTCTGCTTAGGAGCATAGTTTCATCGTTCAAGAATTCTTAATAATTATAGTTTCATCGTTCAAGAATACTTAATAATTAAAGTTTCATCGTTCAAGAATACTTAATAATTATAGTTTCATCGTTCAAGAATACTTAATGATTAAAGTTTCATCGTTCAAGAATACTTAATAAATATAGTTTCATCATTCAAGAATACTTAATAATTATAGTTTCATTGTTCAAGAATAATTTGAACATTATTAATTTTCAGAGAGAAAAACAAAAATAACACAATAATTTTTTATTGGACAACGGTTTAAAGTGCCCAGTTTTAAATTAAAACCCCCTTTTAATAAAGGCTCACAATGTAAATTACGTTTATGCAATCACTTTAAAAATACGTGTAACTGAAGAAAGACATATCACTTTATATAATATTTTTTTAATAGAATTGTACACGGTTTTTTGCTTCAAAGTTCAATGCACAAGAAAATGCACTGTGAAAAAACGGCCTTTAACAATTATTTTTTGGTTATTAACCCTTTTACATATTTATAGTGTTGCTTCTAAAAATCAAGGAATTAAAAGATTAATCACCAAGAATGTTCGGCGAATTTTCTTCCATTTTCGAATGCAACAAAAATAAGCTAAGAAAGTTTGTAAGTTGTTTTTAACCTTTATAAGTCAATGTTTGTAGACTGTTTAATGTTGATGTGATATTATGTTGCGCTTGTGGTTTTATCACTGACGGTTTAGCTAGTTTTGTGATCCTTGTAATTAATAACTTATATAACTTAATAACATCCTAGTGTTACTTTTTCTTGTAAAATACTTTTAAACCTTTCGACTTGTATACTTAACTGTACAATGCAAATAAATATGGCATAAACGTGAATTTCTTATAATTTTTAATTTGACGATTTGTTGAACATACAAATGTTGTCCTTTTGTTCAGTATTATTTTTTATGAATTTAATTTAGTGACGACTTTATAACCTGCTATAAACTTAATAGAAACTCATGTATAAAGAACTCAATAAAGGCAACTTTACAAAGAGAAACTCAATATAACAAGCCAGATGGAATCGATTAAAGCACTAACTTTGCACAGACATTTATTTTACATTATTATTAAAATACAAACTGAGGATNTAAAATTTACACCCTTGAAAAATAGCATTTGTAACAAAATAAAATGATTCAACAATTACTTTTTACTTGTTTACCTTCTCCAGCTCCAATTCACCAATTCACCATTATAAAGTTCTAAATAAAAAGAGTTGGTCTTGAAAAATTGACCTATGAACATTGCACAGGCACTTCCATATGACACAATGGGTTCAAATCTTAAGTTACGATAAATACCTAAAGTTTAGTGAATTACATAATAATTAGCTTGGGAACCCAGCTTTGCCTTGAAACAAAGTTCAATCTATTCAATTAAGAGCTAGCTAAGAACATTCATGTAAATATACAGAGTTCTCCAATCAAAATTTAAGGCAAATCGGTTACTGAGTTCCTGAGTTATGATGGGAAATGTAAACGAACAGAGATTACGACTTCATTATATATACTTTGCTTATCTGGGTTGGTGTCTGTTTGTCTGTCCATTTGTATCCAATTAACATCAAAACGGCTGAACCGATTTGACCCAAAGGTTTATGTGGAACCTCGCATGACCCCAGAGGACCCAGAGAAGGTTTATGAATAGTGCAAACATTTGTCTTTAAAAATTTTTGAATTTGTAAAATTATTAAAAAAATACGAAATTTATATTTGCGAACTTTTTTTTGTTATTTTTAACCTTAAGCGCCCTGAGCTGGGAACTTTTGAATGGTGGATATCAGGATTAATGCTTGATCTACTCTTTCTTAATCTCGAGATTTAATAATGCTTGTTCTCCTCTTGTTATTAATTAACCGATCGGGATTAAGGAGATCCTAATCTAAAGTTTTCAGCTCAGAAATCCTAGTTATATAGATATAAAGATATAGATTTGCACATTGTAAATATATTTGCACATTGTAAATATATTTGCACATTGTAAATATAATTGCACATGTTTGGATAGAGTTCCCAGAATACCGACGGGAATTCTCTTCATGTTGCAGATTATTCAAATTATTCAGAATTCAACATTTCAATCTTTGAATACAAGAAACTTTACAAATATACATTTCACAATACATTAATGTGAATCATGTATTGCATCATGCATGGACCTGAGATCTGAACTTTTGGAGGAGGTAGCATTATTTTAATTAATCGGCAGTGGAAACTTTTCATTAAATTTAAATCAGTTAAGATTAGCATCTTGATCGTATTTATAAAACTCTTATTGTACGAATTAGCGCTTTCAAAAAGGATTTAACCATAAAAAGTTCGGACATCACGCCCTTTTGGTTTAATTTTTGATTTTTGCAGAAACAAATGATGAAGTTTAACATTATTTTAGGAATGAAGAAATAAATGTGTATTGGGTTACAAACATTTATTTTATTAACTCTAAGAAATACGTGCATGAAGCACAATTTTCAATGTTTTTTACAAAATATTTAGAATTCAACTTTGATATTTCAATATTAAAGTATCATTTTAAATCCTTGAATAAAATATAAACAAAAGCTGAAAATGTTTTTAATTATCAAAAGTTATGATTGATGGGGAAAACTTAGAATTTACCCAATATAAATTTCTCTAATTTTCTTCAATCAAATCTAGAATCTAGATTAAAGATTCTAAAATCTAGAATCTAGATTAAAGATTCTAAAATCTAGAATCTAGATTAAAGATTCTAAAATTTAGAATCTAGATTAAAGATTCTAAAATCTAGAATCTAGATTAAAGATTCTATAATCTATGAATCTAGATTAAAGATTCTAAAATTCGGAACCATTATGCTTAGATCAGAAGTTTGTTTTAAAAGAATATCTATAAATATGTTCCTAACGAGTTTCTAGGAAAAAATTAAGAAAATTTATCTCGAATATTTCAGATTTCTAGGAAATGCTCTAGAAGATTTATCTCGAATAATTCAGATTTCTAGGAAATGCTCTAGAAGATTTATCTCGAAGATATTTCTAAGAAGCGATCTAGAAGATTTATCTCGAAGATATTTCTAGGAAATGATCTAGAAGATTTATCTCGAAGATATTTCTAGGAAATGCTCTAGAAGATTTATCTCGAATATTTCAAGAAAATGCTCTAAAAGATTTTTCTAAAAGATATTTCTAGGAAATGCTCTAGAAGATTTGTCTAGAAGCATATTTCCCTACAAGAATACACTGAATTTTTCGCTAGAAGAATGCTTTAGCAAATCAAATGATTTCTCTATAAAAATGTTTTGGAAGATTTCTCTCAAATATTACTCTAGAAGAATGTTTTATAGATTGGTTCAATAGAATGTTTTAGAAGAACATTTTAGAAGAATTCTCTAGAAGAATTCACTAGAAGAATGTTATAGAAAAATGTTCTAGAAGAATGCTCTTTAAGAAGGTTCTTGACAAATTCTCTAGAATAACGCTCTAGACGAATACTCTAGAAAAATTGTCTAGAATATTTATCTAAAAGAATTCTAAACGAATGTTCTTTAAGAAATCTCTAAAAGAATTTTCTAGATTGAATTCTCTTGAAGAATTCTTTAGAAGAAGGCCCTAGACGAATGCTCAAGAAATACTGTCTAGAAAATTTACCTAGAAGAATTCACTAGAAGAATATTATAGAAAAATTCTTTAGAAGAATTCTAAAAGAATGTTCTCTAAGAAATGTCTAAAAGAATTTTCTAGAAGAATGCTTTGGAAGAATTCTCTAGAAGAATTCTCTAGAAGAATGCTCTAGAAGAATTCTCTAGAAGAATGCTCTAGAAGAATTCTCTAGAAGAATGCTCGTGAAATTGACAAACTTTGTTGAAAGAATTCCTAATATATTTTATGTGAAAACGGTCCGGAGGGAGATCTAAAGTGAATTGAATTGATGGGAAGAGAAGTCAGCTGTACAGAAAACTATACTAACTAAAATTAATTTTATCTTTTTTACAATATTTTACAATTTGTTTGAAAATGTTTACCACTATTAATAGTTTAGATATAAATTATAAATTAACCTGCACCTGCATGATCTTATCTGTAAATCCTACATTAAAAACTGAATTATTTTTTCAGATCAGTTGACAAAAAAAATATTCTTAATTTATTTCCGCACCGTTTTTTCCTGTACATTTTGCAAGGGAAGTGTATATATTTAAGGGAAGTGTATATATTTAAGGGAAGTGTATATATAAGGGAAGTAAACAAACTAAAATTAATTTATCTATTTTACAATTTATATCTTGTTTATAATTTTAAGAAATATTTTACCACTCAACAGTTTATATATAACTATACAGTTTACATAGTTTAGATATAAACCATACAGTTTACATAGTTTAGATATAAACTATACAGTTTACATAGTTTATCCTCGTAGCTTCCTCCAAATCAATTTTACTGGTGTGACTTTGTGACCTCATATCTCCTTATCAAAAGATTTTATTGGGGGGGACCCTTGTACCCGAAGATTTTTTTGGGGACCACTGCATCAAAATGTTTTTGGAGAAAACTGTATCAAAATATTTTTGTGGGGACGACTGTATTAAAAGACGTTTTTCAAGGACCACTGTAAAAAAATATTTTTTTTGGGGACCTCTGTTTCAAAAGAATTTTTTTGAGGACCTCTGTATTTAAAGATTTTTTTGGGGGATCACTGTATCAACAGATTTTTTTGGGAACCACTGTATTAAAAGTTGCTTGTTTTGACCAATGTATCAAGTTTTTTTGGCGACCACTGTATAATAAGATGATTTTTGGGACCACTGTATAATAAGATGTTTTTTGGGGACCTCTGTATCAAAAGTTGCTTTTTGGGCCCGCTGTTTCAAATTTTTTTTTATATTTAAATTCACAATTGTATCAAAGTCATACTCTTAAACAAAATTGAACAAGAAAAATGCGACTTAATAATGATTGTGACTTATAGTTTGAGACGCAGAAAGAGTCTTAGACATATATTTGTCTTCAAAAACAGACTTAGACATATTTGTGACTTTTGCTTGTGACTGAGAATGTGTGTTAACATAGCATAAGCCTTACAAAACATGGACTATGTTTTGTCTCAGTGTTATGGTTTAGATAGTGTCTTAATCATTATTGGGTTTGAAAAGTATGGCTTTGAGGTAATTTTGACTTAAAACTGTGACAAACAATTTGTATTATACATAATTGAGCCCAAAAAATGTGACTTAGAATTGATTGGGACTGAGAAGGTATTTTTGTGACTCAGAAAGTGTCTTAGATAAAGCTGTGACTTAGAATTTGGACTTAGAAAGTGTCTTAGACACAAATTGGTCTGAAAAGTAATAATCGTGGCTTAGAACTCTTACTTAGAATGGGCCTTGAATATAATCAAGTCAGACAACTGTGAATTAGAGTTAGACATAGTGACTGAAACGGTGTTTCAGACCTTATTAAAACTTAGAATTGTGATTGTAGAATGGATCTTAAACACAATGAAGCCAAAAAACATCTCTTAGACATAGTTTTGAGTTAGAAATGAGTCTTATAATGTGTCTAAGACATATTTGCTACTTAAAAAATGTTTAAGAATGTGTCTAATGCATATTTGTGACTTAGAAAGTGTCTTAGACATATCTCCAAAGTAAAAAATTTTCTTTATAGAACTGTTACTTAAAATGTGTCTTGACAAAGTTGTGACTTAGAATTGTAACATAGATAATGTTAATCAGATATAATAATAATAAAAGTATGCCTTTGATGTAACTGTGACTTAGAAAGATGTCTTAGAAATAATTATGTCTTATGAGTTTGTCTTTAAATGGTGATGTAGAATGAGTCTCAGTCA